AAATTTGACAACCCTTTTAAATTAGACTTTCACATACTATTGATTTGGACTATAACCCATATTTGGTGTGGCGTACAGAGTTAGGGACCCCTTGCCAAAACTCTATACTTCTGCCCACAGGTCTGCAGCTCACAAATTGGGAATCATTGCACAGAAGTTAGAAGAGGGAACAAGAAATAAGACTGGGGTCCCAGATGGAGTCATACTAGAAAAGGACTTCAGGGTCTAGTGAAGGAATTTGTGCCTAACACTATTTGGTAGTGGAGAACTATTAAAAAGGCATGTGCAATTATTATTATTATATTATTAAAGCCAAGAAATGACATGATTGGACATGAACCAGCAAAAAAAAAAAAAAAAAAAAAAAAAAGATTTGCAATTAAGTCCCCTTACCCATCTCCAGTTGTCTGAGCCTCAACATCCAGTGTGTCCATAGGACATAGGAGCAATTTCCCCCCCAAGAACTCCTGGGTGTGTGTCAGCCCAGACATCACCTTCCTGTTGCCTTCATCAGAGGGGCTTACTGTCCTACACATTGGCACCCACCAAATTACACAATGAACATGAGCCTAAATTAAAGAACGTGCATAATAAAGAACGGTCAGCAAGGGGGGATTTATACTGTGTGCAGGCCTGAGTGAGGTCTAATTCCTCAGCTTTGCCCCTCTCATTCCTAGACCTTCTCACTCCCACCCCCACCCCTCGAACCTCTCAGAAAACTTGGTTTTATTTGCTGAGTCAGCAAACACAGCTGGAAGTGGCCTCCAACACACAGGTTTAGGGAATGAGGCCATGTTCTATTCACCTTGGGGAGAATTGCATAAGCTTTTGGTACCCAAACCTATCCATGCCTAAAAGGAGGGGTACTGTTAACATGTGCCTACCAACTTCAGAAAGGGCCATGGGGATGAAGGTGTAATTAGAGCCTGTGAATGCTTTGTGCTTCCTGGATGAAAGACAACACTCTGAAGTTTTATTATCTACCTACTTTGCTTTTTTATTGTTCCAGTTCCCTTCTGTTTTTCCTTTTGGGGGTCTGTGTAAACTTTATTAGGTATTAATTTCAAAAAAGGCCTCCTTGCACCTCAGAGAAGGATTTTATTTGGTGCCTCAGAGAATTTCTTTCCATAACCCGGACCCTCAAAGAATTCCTCTTAGGGTGAAAGAGGCCTGTGTGTGTTCAGCCGCTCAGTTCAGTTCAATTTAACAAATATTTCCGAAGCATCTACCACCATATGCCTAGCCCCTGGAGGCAGGGCAGGCCTGGAAGAGTGGGGAAGGTTATGAACTCTGGAGCCAGGCCGCCTGGGGATTGAGTTCCAGCCCAGCAGTTCCATGTGGTCCTCGGAGAGCCTTGATCAATTCTTGGAATCTCTGTTTCATCACCTGTAAAATGGAGATAATCCCATCCATCTCTCCGGGCAAAGTAATAAAAAGATATAAATCTCACAGTGAGTAGTGGGTGGCAGGTCAGTAATTCCCAGTTGTCCACCCCCTCTTTAGGATCTGGCCCCTGAGAAGGGGGAGAGGAAATGCCTTTACCTTAGTTTCTGTCCAGTCTACCCTAAGGCCCTCTCTCTAGTCCTTATTCATCCATTTTGGAAAGAATGCCAGCTAGCTAAACCAGCAGTTCTGGAACATTCTCATCTCAGTTCCCCCGGTGCTTCCATTTCCTCTATTCATTCCCCCTTTACCCAAATCCCTCCCAGGCCTCCACATTAATATCCCCCTTCACCCTCCCTTCAGACCCACTCCCAGGAGAGAGAAGAAAAGAACGTTCCCATCCCTTTGAGAAGGAGAGCACAGTGGAAATGGCTTTGGATTTTTTTGCACCCACTTCACAGGCTCTGTGAAGCCCCAGTCCTTGGAAGGTGTGCTCTGGGCAGGAGGGAAGGGGCTCGAGGCCAGCAGGGTGGGCTGAGGCCATCCAGTTCAGGCAGGACCCAAGGGAGAACGTTTTCACAGGTTCCCTCGCCTCCTGGATCCAGCGTGGAAGATGACCCTAGTGTTCGCTGGCAGATCCTGCTGTCCAGTCTGAGAGAAGCACACTGGAGGCATCCACACAGGACCCCGTGAGCCCTGAATGAGGCTTCTTGCCATTTCTCTGGTTGCCAGGGAGGAGAGGGGATATCAAGGAAGCCCCAAAAAGGCACCGAGAGGCCAACACAGATTAAATTAAGCTCCCGAGGGGCCGGGCATCCCACAGATCCCTGGGAGTGCGTAGCTTCGAGGAGGCCTGTTCAGTCGGTTTGTTCTTTCAGACGGGCACCAGGGAAGCCAGGAGTTATTGTTTCCCAAAAGGTAGGCCCTCATCAGGTGGGTGGTCTTAGCATTTTCCATGCGCTTTCATTCCCTCCCTCTTCTTTTCAGGACCACTGAGGGGGTTCTCTCCCCTCTCCCAGCGGCGCTGAGGCGGGGTGGGAGGGTGGCTGCACCGTGCATCTGGGCTGGGTTTTCCCACAGGCCCTCGAAAGGGCAGCCTGGTTGCCTTCAGAAAGCCCTGGGCGGCCCGTGGGGGGAGCAGGGCTGCAGCTGTGGGTCCCCTCCCTCCGCAGCAGGCTTTGATCAGTTCTCATGGGGGCTGTGTGCAGCCTGACCTCCCATCTCCAGCGCCTCTCAGGTGGAAAGTTCTGTTCAGCCTGTCTGAGGCTTCAAAGGCTCTCCCCTCCTTAGGCTGGGACGAGACTGATAATGGTTCTCATTTTGTTGTCCTGTGATCTCCCAGCAGCCCCCATCTTTCGATTGACAGGCTTCTGCTTGTTTGCTTGGGCTGCTTCGGCCGAACTCAAACCACCTTTCTGGTTGAGGAAGCACATTGACATCCTCCCCCATTGAGGCGCCTTTGTTGCTCAGACGTGGCCTCCAGCCCAGACAGAGGTGACCGGGCCACCGCAGCTGGGCACCTGGGGAATCAGACTGGGCGTTGGGCAGGGCGGACGTGAGAGAGAGGCCAAGGACTCCCTGAGCCTGCAGGCTTCAGGAGGAACCCTCAGCTCCGCCCTTCCTGCCTCAGGGAAGCTGGTGCGTTCTGCCCCAGTTCCTCACAGGAATCCAGCTGCGGGGGCTGAGGTGTGCACCCCGAGCCCGTGCGAGGACCTGGCTCTGTGTAGGAGAGGCTGCGAGGCCCCAAGACACCAGCTTCCCAAGAACCAAGCTATTCGCAGTCTTGAGCCTCAGGCACCAGGCCAGCCGCATTCGGGAAGTTCCTTTGAGGGCCTATTATTTCCAATGGCTGTGGCCTTCTGGCCTCAGTTCTCAGCCCAAGGGGTAAACAACAGCTGAGCAGCCACTCCAGGGCCCACTTCCAGCGCCCTCCCCACACGGCTGTTGACCCTGAGCCCGGGCCTCCCAGCCCCCTGCCCAGGGCGAAAGGACACAGCCGGGGTGACCCACCCAGGTGGCTGTCATCAAGTTTGGGCAGGATCCCTGCCTCACCAGAGGGCCAGGGGGCCTCGGAATGGTGCGCTGAGCCTCACACAGGGATGGGGTTAGGCTGCATGTTGCCCTTCGGTTTCCTCATATTTAAAATGAGGGTGGCCAAGGGCAACAGGGGCGGTCAGGAGAGCATCCTTCTTCCCCAGCCTGATAGCACAGTGCTCTTCCTTCCTTTTGATCGTACTCAAAACAACGGCTGCACTAGGAACAATGGGCCCGGGAGGAGGCCGGAGGGGATTTATTATGCTGTCGTCCTGTGGCACAGCCTCGCCTGACTTTATCTTGCACAGAGGTCTGCGTAGGAGGAAATCTGGCAGGCCCTCGGGTCGCCTCTCTGCTCCTGCACTCCCTCCAATTCAGAATGCTGGGAGGACAGGGAAGAAGCTGCCCGTTCAGCCACGCCTTAGCCTAAGCGGGGGCCAGAGAGAGGTCAGCCCAGACCTCTCCAAAACTCTTCCTGTGACTCTGTGAAAGGCACAGGGACTCCAGGTGTTGGGCCTGCCTGAGTCCATCCTGACGAAGAGAGGGCCCCAGACAGTGTCAGTGTGCCCAGGACTGGGCTTTCTCAGATCCTTGCTCTCTAGGCAGCTTGCTCTCTTCTCCTGGCGATGGGGAGAGAGAGTTATGCCAGATGGGTTCTGTTTGTGGACTGTCCAGCCTTTCACAGGGAGAGGCCACTTGATTAGGGGTTTCACCTTTTGCCCCAGCATGGCCAAGGGGGGAGAAAGGCCTTGGGGCTGAGAGGACCTTTCTCGATCAGTATCGGTTGGGACTAGATTTTCCTGGAATGTGGATGTTTTGCCGTCCATGTGCTGTTAGCAGGGTCTAACCAGATCCTTACCCAAACTGTAGTGTCAATGGTGTTAATATTTAGAAAATAAACACTTCTTTCTCATCAGCCAGCAAGGCATTGTGGGATATTGTGGGGTGCTGGAACACCCGTCTTTGTGAGGCTTGAATCTTCTGTAATGCTGTGGATTCAGCACAGGTCTGGTGCCATCATCATTCCCTCTATGACCTTGAACAGGCCATATGACCTCTCAGAGCCTCAGTTGACTCATCTGTAAGATGGGGATGAGAATGCTAACCTCATAGAATGGTTTTGAGGATCAAACAAGATAAGTATGTAAATTACATAGCACGTATTAAGAATTCTATAGACTATGGTCACTATGATCACCACCATTTCAAATAGGTGCGAGGGCCTGATCTGACTCCCTCTGATCCTGAGTAACATCCTTGAGGGAGCTGTGGGCCCTGCTCTCAGCTGTGAGGAGTGACAACATGAGGACCTCTTGAGGAAAACAGACCCACAGCACAAAGTTGACAAAGTTCGCCTTGGATACCAGCCCTAAGTTCAGGCATTGGACTTGGTTTTCTAGATTCTCTCTCTCTCCTGTCACATCATCTCTCTGTGCAACCTCATTGTATTAGTTTTCTAAGGTGGCTACAACAAATCATCACAAACCCAGCATCTTAAAACAAAAGAAATTTATTCCACCACAGCTGTAGAAGCCAGAAGTCCAAAATCAAGATGTTGGCAGGGCCATGCTCCCCTGAAGGCTCTTGAGGAGAACATGTCTCTGCTTCTTCCAGCCTCTGATAACTCCAGTCATTCCTGGGCTTGGGGCCGCATAACTCCATTCTCTGCCTCTATGCTCAAATGGCCTCCTCTTTTTCCTGTTTCTCTTATAAGGACACTTGTCATTGGATTTAGAGCCCACCTAGGTAAACCAGGATGATCTTATCTCAAGATCCTTCACTTAATTACATTTGCAAAGACCCTATTCCAAAGAAGTTCACATTCACAGGTTCCAGGGGTTGGAATGTGGACATATCTTCTGGAGGCTGCCATTTTGCCCACCACATCCATCTGCCCTGTAAAATGTCCTGCTGGATTATGACTAAAGAATCAAGACAAAAAAAAAAAAGAAAGAAAGAAAAGAAAAGAATCAAGACAAAAGCTCTCACTTGTGGCTGGTGAGGAGGATCACTCATTTCCATGGTTCTCCCCTTAGCCCCAAGAAAGGGGTGTGGTCCATCTTCAAAAGGTAATCTGGCTGTTCATTCTTTGGTTCCTGGAGGGTAGTGAAGATAAGTTCCTCCTGCCCTGTGAAAAACTGAGACATCGCTGCATTCAAGGGCAGCACTAAAATCAGAACTGCGTTCCAGGGGTTCCTGTACTTAGCCAGACACACTGGGGTTTCAAAGCCCCTGAAAGGAAAAAAAAAAAAAAAAGCCCCTGAAAGGCTTACAAGAGAGCTGTGAAGACCTACTTTCATTTTTTTTTTTTATAAATTAATTTTTATTGGTGTTCAATTTACCAACATACAGAATAACACCCAGTGCTCATCCCGTCAAGTGTCCCCCTCCGTGCCCGTCACCCATTCACCCCCACCCCTCGCCCTCCTCCCCTTCCACCACCCCTAGGTCATTTCCCAGAGTTAGAAGTCTTTATGTTCTGTGTCCCTTTCTGATATCTCCCACACATTTCTTCTCCCTTCCCTTATATTCCCCTTCACTATTATTCATATTCCCCAAATGAGTGAGAACATACACTGTTTGTCCTTCTCCGATTGACTTACTTCACTCAGCATAATACCCTCCAGTTCCATCCACGTTGAAGCAAATGGTGGGTATTTGTTGTTTCTAATGGCTGAGTAATATTCCATTGTATACATAAACCACATCTTCTTTATCCATTCATCTTTCGATGGGCACCGAGGCTCCTTCCACAGTTTGGCTATTGTGGACATGGCTGCTAGAAACATCGGGGTGGAAGACCTACTTTCAAATGGTGTGTTGAGTCTCTCTTCCTGCCAACCCCACTGGAAGCATTTTTTCTTCCAGTGCTCATACTCTTTCCCTTCTTCTTTTCCCTTTGCCATCTTCCCGAGGCCTTCCACTCACAGAAAGTGTCCAGGAGACCCTACCCTCTCTTTTCTTAAAAGCCTCCTCTGGCCATCCTCCCTTCACAGGGCCATGCTCTGAGAGATCCTCCCGGCTCTCTTTCCTGTTTTAGCCCATATTCAGCCATAAAGGTCCATGCTTAACAGAAAGGACATTGTCTCAGGGCTTCCAAGGCCTCTCTCTTTGGAAGGCCTTCTTTCCAAATTGCTGACGCTTCCGCTATCAGGCTGTGCAAGAAGAAGAAAGATCATCATATAGCAGGGTTTTTTTTTTTTAATTCTTCCAATCAAATGATACTTATATATAGATTTAACATATGCTTTGACTCCCTCTGAGTGGTTTCAAGAACTAAACCAGCTCTATGCCCCTTTCCTCTGACCAGGCTAGTTCAGTGGGGCTCTGCTGATGACCTGGCCTTTCTCCTCTGCAGTTACTATGAATAACTTTGCTTTTGTCGCTTTCTCTTTAAAGGTGTTCCTCCTCTTTCTGGTTCACAGATAGTAATGGGTGGCATGAGCAGAGTTCAGCTTTCATGAATATGGGAGCTCTAAACATTGGATCACATGCTAACAGAATCCCTCATGTTTACGAGAATCTAGCTAAAGGTGGAAAGTCAATATGACCCCACAGTCTTGAGAACATTGTGAATTCCCATGAGGATAAAAATCTGACCTGTGCCTGTACATTGCTGGTGGGGATGTAAAATAGTTCACCCATTTAGGAAAACAGTATGGCAGTTCCTGAAAAAGTTAAATATAGATTACTCTATGACCCAGCAATTCTACTCCTGTGAATTGAAAACAGTTACTCAAATAGATACATGTACACACGAGTTCACAGCAGCACTATTCATAACAGCCAAAAAAAGGTGCAAAGAGCCCAGATAATCCACCTGTGGATGAATGGATAAGCAAAATGCGAGATATATCCATACAATGGAATATTACTCAGCCAGGTACTGAACTATGCTACAAGATGGAGGAACCTCAGAAATATGCTGGTGAAAGAAGCCAGACACAAAAGGTCACATACAGTATGTTTGTATTTACCTGAAATATTCAGAACAGGTAAATCCATAGAGACAGAGTGCAGACTGGTAGTTTCTAGGAGCTGAGCAGAGGTGGGAGGATTGGCAAGCACTGAGTAATGGGTATGAAGTTTCCTTTTGGGGTGATAAAAGTGTCAAATATTGGTGGTGGTTGCATAACATTGTGAGTGTACTAATCACCTCAGATCATGTTTTGTGTTATGAGATAAAAACTTCAAATGTAAAAAAAAAAAAAAAAAAAAAAGTAAGAGAAAATCTGACCTTTGTGCTCCATGCACACACCCCAGCCCCTGGTCTTAGCCTCTCTCTACATGTCCTTCCTGGGCAGACCTGTGGGCCCATTCTCAGTGCCAGGGCTCCAGATTGGTTTAGGGTACAGATTACTCTCAGGCTTTTTCTTGATCCCACTTCTAAGGCACATCTCCTAAAATCCCATGACTAAAGCTGAGTCTTTGCAGCAGCAACCAAGTGTTGTAGCAGAGAACAATGGGTGTGGGTGAGAAAACCTTTCTATCCAGACTGTTGTTTCTCAATATTTTGTTTCTGTGGCAGTGAGCTGGATTTTCTAAGCAAGATTAATAGGTTTGTACATTTCCCTGCCTTTAAGAATTTCTACAGGTTGGGAGAAGACAAAGAACACAAGTGACAAGGTACCTAGAAAAAGATGTTCAAGGCCTACATGAAGCCCACCCTGGGTTCTATTTGAAACTATTGTTTGTTAAAGTCATGGGGGAAGAAAGTTCATGCCCCATTATATTTATTCCAACTTCATTTGAGGAATATGAAGAGACTTAGAGTTTTGTGCTTCCAGAACAGAGGAGATACGGGACTTTGAGGAGAAAAATGTCTCTCGAAGGAACGGGGGCCATGGGGACTTCCTCACGTTAACTGGGACAGAAAGTTGGAAGTCTGATAACTGAGCTGTCATTCATCAAGGGCACTCACTCACTTACCCCACTGGGCCTGCCCTGAGCCAGCATGCAATGTGCCCGGCCACTGGCTGGAGTAGCCAGAGGTGACCAGCCAGCACCTGTCCTGACTGCATTTGCAGCCCCGTGTGGAAGTGGGGTGGACATATGGCGAGCATCATGGCCATGGTGCATGTGCTCAGTCCGAGGGCCGTGGAGTACCAGGAATCAGAGCCTGAGGTGATAGGGAATGCGCCCCCCCATCGTTGGTGACATCTGAGCCCAGGGTTGAAGGAAGATTGAGGCAGGGACAAGCATCACAGATAAGTGAGCACAGCAGCAGTATTGGCCCAAAGGCATGAAGACGAGTGGCATATCTGGGGAATGTGGCCAGATCCCACAAAGAGGGCTGCACACATCCCTGGAACATGTAGGAAAGGCCTAGAATGGCTGAGAGGTTGTCGCTGGAGAGGTAGGGAAGAGCATAGGTTTGGGGAGGACCCCAGAGGCTTTAACTGAGTTGGTGACATTTCATTTCTTAAGCTGGGTGTTGATATAAGGAAGCTCTTTATGCTTTTTTGTACATGTGAAATTGTCTCAGTGACTTGTCAATCTCTGTGGGAAAGTTTCATGGTACATGGAGGCTGAGAAGTCCTTGCAAGACTACAAGCTTCTGAGCTTCCCACTGTGGTGGCATGTAAGCTGCTCGTTTTTTATTCCCTTTGCCAAGGACTCCAAGGCCACACCTCTACAGAAATAGCAGGACAGAGCTTGACCCTCCCAGCCCTGGGGCATACAGTTCCTGGAACAGAACGTTTCCCATCTAGGGAAGTGTGAGCAGAGGAAGGAGTCTAAGCCCCATTTTGTGTCCTAGGGGACAGCTGATACGCCCCTTAATGGACACTGCCCCAAGTTCTTTTTCAAGTGAATTTCCCTTCAGCTACACTGTTTGCTTTTTCCTGCCAGAGCATCCTGCCCCCTCCAGTGCGGTCCTGAGGAGGAGATCCAGCCCCTGCCTTCCTGGTGTGCAGAGCTTAAAACAAGAGCCCTCTGCCCATCGGACATCCTTACCATTTCCAGCTATTGAGTGTAATCAGGTGTGCCAGGATCTGATTTCAAAGCCCAAATCCAAGGGGCTCAGAGGAATCCTTTCTCCCTGTTGCTCCAGTGGAAGACAAAGGGGACTGAACAAACAGGATGTGCTGAGAGCTGCATGGAGCACTACCCCAGCAAGACAGGCAGGCGGGCAGGACGCAGGGCTGGAAGAGGTGGCCCGTGAGCCGGGGTGTTGGCATGTGTGGTTAATCATGCCCAAGAGAAATAAGCAGGACAAGAAGAGCAGACACAGTGGTCCATCTGAAAGCCTCTCTGGATGGTGATTCCTTATACTCACGCTCATGCAGGGTCTGGGGAGTTACAGAATCCCTGCCTCCCAGAGGATCCTGACTCTGGCCATTCACCTTGCAGAAGCTGTGTATTTCTAGAAATTGTGGGGGCAGGAGAGAGACAGGACTCAGGGATCTACAAACAAGTTAGGACTGATATGGGGTGCAGTTGGGAGAAGACACACCAGTCGCAGCCCAATGGTTGGGTCCTGGTAATTCCATTTGTTACTGTCCCTGTTTCTGTCTCTTACTATCCCAGACTCTAATCACTGAGCTTGGGAACTTACATCTAGTAAACCCTCTCAATCATGAACTTGAAAAAGAGTCCAAAGTCATTCCAGAGAACAAAACCTTTCTTAGGAGGATAGTTCCTCCTCTCCCCTTCTACTGCCCAGTTTTTTTTTTTTAAGATTTTATTTATTTATTCATGAGAGACACAGAGAGAAAGAGGCAGAGACACAGGCAGAGGGAGAAGCAGGCTCCATGCAGGGATCCCGGGACTCCAGGATCACGCCCTGGGGCTGAAGGCAGCGCTAAACCACTGAGCCACCTGGGCTGCCCCCTACCACCAGTTTTATATGGGAGAAATCAGAGATTAAAATCATATTTATCAAGACTGGATTTGAAAGCAAACGAAGGTCTTTGAAGGCTACAAGGATAGGAAGCAACTTACCCTGGGGATAGGTTTGTCCCCTTACCACATAATGGTATCTGCCCCCAGTCACCATCTTTCAGAGATACTCTCCCTGGTACTTTCAATCACGGGTACTTGGAATATCGCTTCAGACACTTCTGGTTCTTCCAGGCACTGGGTGCCACACCTCACATTCTGTGGATGGGGCAGGAAGGACAAATGCCCGCTGGTACACAGGGCAGTCCCACACAGCTGGAGAACTATGCCACCTTTTTTTTATTTTTTAAGATTTTATTTATTTATTCATGACAGACACAGCGAGAGAGGCAGAGACACAGGCAGAGGGAGAAGCAGGCTCCATGCTGGGAGCCCAATGTGGGACTTGATCCCCGGTCTCCAGGATCACACCCTGGGCTGAAGGCGGCGCTAAACCGCTGGGCCACCTGGGCTGCCCTGCCAGCCTTTTACTAATAGAGAAATACTGGTGGAATTGGTCGTTTCTGATACCCAGCACAACCCCGAGCATCTCCAACCTAGAGTCTTTGAACATAAAACCTACAGAAAGAGTATCTGACAGGGAGTAGCACATTCTAAAGGTCACTGTTGGTTCTAGATGAAATAAAAAGCACCCGGAAAATGAAAACCTGCATGACATCTATAGTTCATCATTGTCTCTGAAATAAACCAGAAGTTTCCAAGAGAGATTTTAATCTGGCACAAAACATCAGATTTATGGAGATACTTCCCCCTGGAGCTAATGTTCTGGGAGCTAGGGATTCAGAGGCTGTCTCTCAGATAAAATTGGTTTGGGCATATATTAAGTTGCTTTGCCCCGATGTGGTGTAAATAGTTGGCATGCTAAGAATGGTTAAGAAAGAAAATCCCAGCTAAGAGTGTGTATATGGAAGGCACAATGAACATGCATGTTAAGTAGCCAGAGTGAAAACTGAGTTGGGGTCCTTGGGGGAATTCCAGCTACATTAAATGAACTAACTAGGGCCAGTTTGGGAGGGGAGGTGGGGGGAGCCAGGAGACACATCCAGATTTTCTTAAAGGGAGAAACTTGAAGAATCCATCATTCCACTCATAAGCAAATGACCATCCCAAAGAATTTGAATTCTAGAGAGATCTTGAGCACAAAATTGCAATGTCTTTCAGAACTTGATTTGTGATTCAAGATGAACTGCTTGCTAACTCTGGAGTTACTCAGCCAAGGAGGGTGGGAAAGGCAGGCCCATTAATCAAAAGGTGT